GTCGAGTCGGATATAGAATTCCATGTTGTCCACAGGCTCAGAAAGCGTACGGACGGAAAGCCTGGGTCGATGGTGGCTAAATTTGTAAAACGGAAGGATCGTGATATCGTTCTGAAAGCCACTCCAAGCCTCCGCAACAAACCCTACTCTGTCAATGAACAATACCCCCAGAGGTTAATGATAGACGACGCGCCCTCTACCCAGTATACCGACAGGCTCGGGAGCGTAATCAGGACGCTCGACTTAAAGGAGATAAGCTGTTCATTGATGGAAGGTTGTATAACCCTCCCCCACGGGACCATGGTACTTCCACGGCATTTGAGGCCCATGATTCACAGCGTCCAGCAAGATTTGCATCCGGTTCCGGTCCTGGTTCCGACAGGAGATGGCAACCCCACGGGCGCTCGGGATACCCTTTGTAGGGAGACAACACAAGAGGTCTAGCGGAAGACCTATCCAGTGACACTGTACATATTAACTGTACAGAACCGCTTAGATTTACATTTCTAAATGTATGTGGTATCAAATCAAAGCTTAACTTACCTGAATTTATAGATATGATTAAATCGTATGATATATTATTTTTTGTTGAAAGCAACCTTGACGACCTTGATATAATACAGTTACCACATGGATATTCATATTTCTGCAAAAACAGAGCAAAAGAAGTGAAAAGGAAATCAGGTGGTATAATTATAATATACAAAGACGAATTAAAACCCATGTTACAGTTTTACAACACTCCTTCTGACTTTGTCCAATGGCTGAAATTATCAAAAAATATAACAAATCAGGATTGTGATGTGTTATTTGGTTGCATATACATTCCTCCGGAAAATTCAAAATATTCGTCGGTTGATTGTTTTGAAGAAATCGAGAATGAGTTGAATAAAATATTTGTAAATAATAGTAATCTTGTGCTTGTAGGCGATTTTAATGCCAAAACCCAATGTAAAGATCACTTTGTTCAACTTGATGGTACACCTATTGAAGTTTTAGACGTAAATATGAATGATGAGCTGTATAAGTACTTGTTTGATGTGCAAAAATTGACCGAATTGAACGTACCGTTAAAACGGACTAGCCGATGTAAATCAAGACCTAATAATTTCGGTTATAAATTGCTTGATTTTTGTAAAGAAAACAATGTTTACATCGCCAATGGACGTATTGGTAAAGATAAACTAATTGGAAAAACAACATGTAACGATACTAATGTTATTGACTATCTTTTGTTGTCATCAGATCTGTTTCAATTTATTGATAATTTTGAAATCGCTGATTTTGATCCTTTATTTTCGGATGTGCATTGTAGATTAGAATTTCAAATGAACAATATGGAAATCGTCATAAGATCCAAGATAAGCGTCACGATTCCTTGACAAATGACTTTATTAAATGGAAGACCGACAAGAAAACTAATTTTGTACATTATATAGAAGAAGATGACAACGGTATGCTGAAAGAAATTGTTGAAAAAATAGATGTTTTATCTCAAAAGCCGTGCAACCTAGTAGATGTTGTTGAAATAAATGATATAGTACGTTCTATAAGTAATATATCCAAAACTTCGGCAAAGTGTGTATTTGGTGAAAAGAAAACGTATAATAAAGCAAACAAAAGAAGAAACGTCAATAAACCTTGGTTTACACGTGAGTGCCATAGTAAAAGAATAGACTTTCATAAAGCTAAACGTCAGTAAAACGTTAATAGAACTCCCGCAAATAAAATTAATCTTAAAAATACAGGTACAAAGTATAGGAAAACTTTAAACAAGTCATATAGAATTCATCAAGAGAAAATGGAAACGGAACTAAGAAAAGTTTCGAACCTAGAGCAGAAAACCTTTTGGCATATTTTAATTGAAATTGATGGTCCCTGTAAGGAACAGAAGCTTGACAAAAATATTAATGAATTATATCGCTACTTTAAAGAGTTGAATAAGGGAGATAACTCTGACGACATGTTTGACGATGTGGTTATAGATGGGGATGGTAGATTTGATCATTTGTTGAATGGAAATATTACTGAATGTGAAATTAGAGAATCCATTTTATGTTTAAGTGTAATAAAGCTTCAGGTTTTGACGGAATTCTGAATGAATATTTAAAATCTACTGTTGAACTGTTTAAACCTTTGTACTGTAAGTTGTTTAATATTATATTTAATACCGGTTGTATACCCGACTCTTGGAAGATAGGGGTTATTAAACCCATTTATAAACGTAAAGGAGATCCATCTGACTTAGACAATTACAGAGCTATAAGTCTTGTTTCATGTCTAGGAAAAGTTTTTACATCAATATGCAATAGCAGACTAAACAAGTTGGCTGATGAAATTAATCTAATTACCTACTCCCAGGCTGGCTTCAGGAAAAATCATTCCACCACTGACAACATTTTTATTCTACATACATTTACTTCTATTTATTTTTCTCTGAGAAAGAAATTATTCTGTTCATTCATAGATTTCAGAAAAGCTTTTGATTCAGTTTGGAGACTTGGTCTATGGAGAAAAGTTCAAAAGAGTAATATAACCGGGATGATGTTCAGAGTAATATTTAACTTGTATGAAAATACCAAATCTTGTGTCAAAAATGGAAATGAATTGTCTGAAATGTTCAATTGTAATATCGGGGTAAAACAAAGGGAAAATTTATCACCATTTTTATTCTCAATTTATCTTAATGATCTGGAAGATTTTCTTGCAGAAAATAATGTTAATTGTCTTCAAACAATAGAAACTTTGGGTGAAAACATTGAAATGTATTTAAAATTGTTTATTCTTCTGTATGCAGACGACACTATTATTATGTCTGAAACAGCGGAAGGACTTCAATCTGCTCTTAATACTTTTGAAGTATATTGTAATACCTGGAAGCTTAATGTTAATACTAACAAAACCAAAATTGTTATATTCGCAAAGAGAAAAGGTCGTACAGCCTTCCAGTTTACATTGTGTAATGAAGAAATTGAAATTCTTGATGAATTTCCTTATTTGGGTGTTTTAATTAATTACAACGGAAGTTACTTTAAAGCTAAATGTAAATTAATGGAACAGTCTAAAAAAGCAATGTTTGCTGTTTATAAGAAAATAAAAAATATTCAGCTTCCAGTAGACCTTCAGTTGAAGATCTTTGACTCGCTTGTGTTGCCTATACTTTTGTATTCAGTAGAAGTTTGGGGTTTTGAAAATTTAAGTGTCATTGAAAAATTTCATTTACAATTCTGCAAACGTATTTTAGGTATTAGAAGAAGTACACCAAATTTTATGATTTATGGTGAATTGGGGAGATTCCCTTTACTTATTGAAGCTAAAAGCAGAGTTATTATGTTTTGGTATAAATTAATTACCTGTAATAACTTGTCAAGTATCATGTATAACTTAATGTAAAATCTACATATTAATGGCAATATGGATTTCGAGTGGTTGAAAAATGTTCAAAATATTTTTATAGAAACTGGTTTAAACTTTATCTGGGACTTCCAGAAAATATGTACATTTAATAGAAATTATTTAAAACTTGTCATTAAGCAAAGACTACAAGACCAGTTCATACAAAAATGGTTCAGTGATGTAATTAATTCCTCTCGAGGAAATACCTATTGTATAATGAAAAGTAATTTTGAATTAGAAAAATATCTTTTGAGACTTAAACCTAGAGAAAGAAAAATTATCGTTAAATTTAGAACTTCAAATATGCGTTTACCAATAGAAACAGGAAGATGGATCGGAATACCGAAGGAGAACAGAGTTTGTAATCTTTGCTCAAATGAAATTGGCGATGAATACCACTATCTTTTTAGATGCGATCATGAATCAGTGAAGAGAATAAGAGATCAATTTATTCCACATTACTATTCTACTTATCCTAGTATTACAAAAATGCATGGACTTTTTTCTGTATGTAATGTTAAAGTTTTATCAAATCTCAGTAAATTTCTAGAAAAGCTTGATAATCTATTGAATCTACGTAGCTAAAATATCATTATGTATATAACTGTGTACCGCCATGCCATGAATGTTTTTGTTGTAACCTGACCTCTTGTAACATACTTTGTATGTCTGAGAGTACCAATAAAATCTAAAATCTAATCTTTCATTTTATCGACGTGAACAGAGCACAACAATCCTCTACCTGTAATCTTAAGCCAGAGACTTAACAATTGAAAACTCACATGGATATACTTACAGAACTTCTTTCCAAGTCACGGTCATTCGTGCCTAGTCTATTTGTCGTGATAGCTGTATTTTAGAAACGAGATTTTTACACTAGACATATTGAAACATCAACGATAAACATGTACTTTTTATTCATTTTCTTTCTTTTCTTTCTTTTTATTTTCTCTTCTTTCTTTCTCTTCCTTTCTTTCTTTCGTGTGCCTCCTGTTTTTTTTTTTTTTTTGTTTTTTGTTTTTCATCATCATTACTATTTTGAAGTATTGAACAATTTGTCTTGTTATACTTCACTATTCCTGTACAGGTCATATATATCAATGGACCTACATGGGCATGTGATTTTAAAGCTGAGGAAACTTTTGACAGCTATTCACTAATCTTCCCTACGTCTCGCTCCGGTAACGATCTATCTGCCAAGAGGCATGGTTGTTATGGCAAGCAAGCTTTCACATTCTCCAATACAGCTACTTAATAGTTAACGCACAATATAGGCAACCAATCAAGCAATGAGGCATAACCATACGTTTTTAACAATATGATAACGGTTACAGTGTAAGCTGATGACAACATGAACTCCTGTGATCACCAAACAGTAACCTATGTACGGTGTATATATAAAAAAAAATGTGTATCTATGAAAGATCACTGAAGCATGAAGACCATGTCCACTTCAGTTTAACAATTGTGACACAAGTATGTATGTGTACAGCTCATATGTTTATACCAGGTACCCATAAGTATAAGTACATAACCAGTCAGCTGATACAACGACAGAAACACACAGTCTGACTGTAGGCGTGGCTCGATCGATCTATCTAGATATGGCAAGGCAGTTGGGGAGACAGGTAAGTTAGCTGTAATCGTGCTGTATCATCCCAGTTCTGGGGTTGTGAGGTTTCTTGCCTGACGAAAAGTCAATTTACTACAATTCAAGTCTTCAATCGTTTTCTGTCGATAGTGGATGATGGTAGTCTCGTAAAAAGTATCTTTACCACTGACCCAATTACACCTGCGCCCAATCCCTCTCTCTAAAATAAGGTTTGACCCATATTTACACGTATTTGTGCCATGTCTGTACATGTTTAATGATAAGGAGAGGATGTGAGGTGATAATAAAGCAGGGAGAGTACCAGGTCTGTATATATGTGTTAAGATCTGTTGATATTTACACTAGAAATACGGGAATCTGGTAACTACAACGTTATTCATATATGTCGATATGCTGAGGATATCGGCATTGTTCCTATCGGTTTTTACCTAATGTTATTCAGTCAATGATGTTCTAAATTAACATCATAATGCAGATATTTACACTTCACCAAATACGAAAATATAGCATATGTAGATATGCTGACTATTTTCTGGGTCATTGAATAGAATCTCTTATGATAAATCTAAAGATTAGTGGTACTTATTTTTGAAAGCGATAATTGACTGGTAAAGTTTACTTAGGTGATTTGCTGGAGTTCCTCGGACTATTATTAGCTGAGGCTAAAGTAGACAATGAGTTCACTATCCTTAACAGCACGAGCCTTTGTGGAATACCGTATGGAGAACAAAGTTATGATATGCATTTACATTAAGATATAAATATAATTCAAATTACATTGGACATTTAAATTGCTTTTTTCATTCAGTTATTTAAGATATTTGTATTTAAAATAAAAATCAGAAGTAAAACATTAAGATCAAATATATAGTAATGTGGTTGTTTTAGTATTTAAAACTTCATGTCGAGAGTCACCTATTCTGTACCAACGTATCAATTTTGTATATACAGAAGAGGTCAATTCAAACCCGTGGTCTTTAGTTAAGGGCCATCAGTATGTAAATTTCAATATAAAGTCATTTTACTCTTAAGAAAATAAACCTCGTCGTACTCTTTGCAGTGTATCCTTTTATATATGGTGTCGTGTGTCACCAATCGTTATACCAAACTGAACTATAACCCGAATTAACCTGGGGTGCCTCCTACTCTTACAAAACACAAGTTTACTTTGATACATAGTGCAAGACTGTGTATAAAAATGGTGCGTCAAAAATTTACAAATACTGAAACATGGCAAGTTTCTGGAATGGTTCAATACAGACATGTAGCTGCACGTATCAATGCCAGGCATTCAGTTATTTCTCAGTTAATACAGTGTCTGTACACAACCGGGCATGTTGACGAACGTTCAAGGTCTGAAAGATCTCGAAAGACTATGCATGTAGGAGATAGACTTCTGTATAGACACGCAAGACGGGTCACCTCTGCCAACAGGCTCAGAGGACAGTGGAACATCAGTTTTCGCGTCAGGAGGCGTTCGATTAAACAACAGGCGATTTCTCTCTCCGCGACCAGTAAAATGTCCCCTTTAGTACTGTAAAACATGAACAAGCGAGATTACATAGGTACGTGATTTACGGATATGGAATATAATGTCTTGGCAAATAGTCCACTTGTCTGATGACAGCCGTTTTTTTAACCCAAGTCCGACAGACTCCAGGGTCCGTTTTTGGAAACTAAACAATATGGCATACCATAAGTATCGCATTCAGGTCAAAACAGCGTTTGATGGTGGCGACGTCACTGTTTTGGGATGTTTTTCTCTTAACTGTAATCTTCACTTGCATTAGTTGTTTTGCATTTTGATGCCCATTAATTGGTAGATCGGCCCATCTTAACGGATGACAATTCCGAACCACACCGACCCAGTCTAGTGAAAGACTATCTTTAACAAGAAGTGATACAGACGCTCCAGTAGTCTGCAGTATCACAAGACATGAACCTCTGCTGTGGATGCAGAGATATTGCTCTCCTGAAATGGTAAATTCACAATAGGGAAATCGAAATCATACAGTTTGATGGAATGCTGTCCATGATGCTTTCCGTTGTAGGAAAACGTTGAGAAAAGCAGCTGGTGTATATATACGTTGGACGTGGTCAATAAATATCTTGTCCTTTAAAGAATAGACGACATCAATATCTCTAAAAATGTAGTTATTTAACAAGCTCTTCGATTAATTCATCCTCGTATGAAACAAAATCAAGCCAGCCTGTTGGAAAATCTTACCACCAAACTTGACTAAGATGTTGTCAACCAAAACTCGACTATTGCTATCAATGGTGTTTCAAAATGTTAGTGTTCTGAGTCAATATGATGAATTTGTTTTCATTTCATACAATATTCTATGATTTTTGCCTCAAAGGTAAAATTTTGCTCACTAGGGCTCGCAAAAATAAATACTTCGTACATTCGTTTCATAAAATTTCACGTGAAATGCATATACCGAAATAAAAGTCGATAGAAGAGTAGAATGTAAGAAAGGATACCAATTTTATGATACGTTATGTCATTGTTTTTGCTCCGATTTGGTGGATTTCGTGTTGTAATATCGTTATTTCTGTTTAATAAAGATTGTCCTATCACACAACACAACGTGAACAGACGAAATGTCACATTTGAGTTGTCATGTTATACGATATGTAGTGTTCTATAACCTTTGAAAGTTACTGTTTGTGTATATTACTATCTTATCCTCGGTGCATTTACCTGAATCACCTATGTAATTTAATGTATATATACCTACATGTATACGTGGTGTTAGGTAAGACGTGGACGATATTAAATATCAATTAATAAGTGTCAAAAACTCAAAAATTGCCTTCATTGAATAATGAATTAATAATGATGATGAATTATCAATGTAGCTTTTGCTTTTCATGGTGAAAACTAGACATACTTATTTTAACGCGTACAGTTAGCCACGTACGTATTCTTTGGTATTCACCATTTCGCTGTAAATTCAATTTTGAATTTTAGAGGGGTAAGTTTTACATGTATATAACGATGACCATGAATATATCATCAATGCGAACAAAAATGGATTATAGATGGAATTGTTTTGATTATTTTTTTCATCAAACTCCTGGTACTCTAATTACATGGATCATTGTGGCTCGCTTAGTGAGAGCCACAAGGACAGGTAACAACGTTTCTGTGGAGAGGCTTGTGTAGGCCTTGTCAACTATAGATAATAAATTATAATACTTTGTCCTAGTAATTTGACCAATATGACATCAGGTGATCAATAACTGGATAATATAAAATCATGACACAATATAAAGTTCATGGTTTCATTTCTATTAACATTGTACATGTCTTAAATATGCTGATCACGTAAATTTAAAATAAAAATTACATTTGCATCTTACGTTCGAATTTCTCGGTCGTATCACATCATTCTTATGCTTATTAAGTTATTGCAGACATGTTCTTGTTTGTTCCCAAGATTTGGTTTCGTAAGCTGATATGTTTATGGTATTACAACATAGATATATTCAATTACATTTTGATATGCTATTTCAATGTAACGATTTTTTTTCAACCTCAGTACGACGTGCCGTGGGAGAACATCATGGATGACAGGATATATAGCAATATAAGTAATCAAGGCCAAAAACAAAGGTCACATCCTATTGGAACCGGAGATAATGCTAGAGATCATAATGCTGACGATATTGGCACATTTGGTCGTCGGTCAACGAATTCCAATCGGACAAATAGAAACTCCGACTATCTTCAGTTAATGGAATATCAAATGGGAGGCTCTCAATATTCTCTTAGTGACCCAACGCAAGTGTACGACAACCCATCTTACTCAAGAGAACACTTCCCAGCTGGACGTTACAAGAAGCATAGGACTTACTCAGGTAAATATGACATATGTATGATGTATCGTTTTGTGTTTAGTGCTAAATAATCTCTATGTTAATTAATGTGTTTTAGATGTACTGATAATTTCGTTAATTCCGTTTTCGCTCAACGGTTAAGAGTACATGATAACTAATATTATTCGTATGTCGTATGCATAGGCGTCGACGTCCTGTCTCGAAAAAGTTGTCGAAAGTCTTTTAGGTACATAAGAATACATGGTATGTAAATACGTATCTGTATGAATATGTTCATGTGTTTTTAAGTATACCTTTTTGTTTGTTTGCTGTTTGTTTTTATATAATTACGCATATCTGGTATTTATTTTATTTATTTTATATTTTGTAATTGATTTTTTATCAAGTATTCCATACCCGAGTTATTTAGCATATTGTGTAACTAGAAATGTTGCGATGACCGGTGAGATGGTCAATCATTGATAGCACCTGTTTATACTAAAACTATATCTAAATGATTATCTTTCTCGTAGAATCAACGTCCGGTAGTTGTAATCGTCCATGCGTTATTGGGGCCGTTGTTTTCGTAGTGGTCATTGCTCTCGCGGCAGCTGGAGTCGGAATCTACTTTGGACGTAAGTCATATATAACATAGACATGTAAGTCATATCACACTATTTTGACTGCGCAGTTTATTGTATTAAAAAGAAAAGATCTTAACGTTATTTGTTGTAGACGTTTCTTCTTTGTTTCCAGGTCAGGCAATTATCCATTGCAATTTTTTTGCAAATCCTTCACTGCACTTGAAAACCACTGATAAGATCACTGAGTAATACTTGAGCAGTGCAAAAAAGTATGACACAGAGAGGTTTAAGATTTTCCCACTCTTCAAATACTAAGTAGTTGAGATAAGTCATCGCAATGAGCTGATCCTGTTGCTTTGAATACCAATGGAATCTAAACGCTCTATAACCACCTTAAGGTTAGACACAGGGACACATAGCTTGTGTTTTGTGTCGCTTTGGAAGATTAGAACGAAAAGATCAGTGAGGAAAACTCCTACACTGACATACTTGTAAAATCAATAAAGAAAGTGCCAACATGTCAAGAGAATCATCATCCGAACCCAAATTCAATCATCCTAAGACAAAACATAAACAAAAGAACCTCCTGAAATAGTACAAAGAGAATAAGAACAGGTGTTCCGGAAGAGTAAGCGTCTTAGGCATCTTCAACAACATCCACTGTGTATATTTTTGTCCGTCCAAGTAAGTAATGTCACATTCCCAAATGAAATATGGTGAAAAATGAGATTAAATCAACAGGTATGCTAACTGGCATCGGACGTGTCCAACTTCATATTGCTTAAGGAAATACATGTATAATATTTAATAACCAGATGACGACAGGAAAACACTTCCCCGCCATTTCCAACAACCTGCATCTCTTATTTAAAGACAACATATCTGTATACCTGAAAATAAATTTCAAGGCTTTCGCAAAATCAGCATATTCAGCCTTGTATGAATACTAAAGTAAGTCAGCAGGCAGAAGGACATACTTTGCGAACAAGACAACGAAGGCGTTGCTTCAAACTGAAAGGGGGTATTATGGTGTACAGACTGGAACAATCAAACGCTCTTATAGAAGAAACGTTTTAGAAGGGGTGTTCAAGATAAGATAAAAGCTCCTTGCTTACCATTAATTACACAGTAAAAAGGGCCACACTGAAATGGGTTAACTTAGCACGGAAATACCAGAATTTGTTATCCTCATATAAGTAACAATAAGCATGACAAATGTACACAAAATATGTAGTATATAAATCAGCAAGAAGATATTGTTCTACTTTAACTGATCTCATATACGCTTTTCTTTGTTTTTTTAACAGTTTTTCGACAAGAGTCAATGAAAGTGACACCAACGCCTGCTACACAGTCAGGTATACATAGCATCACATATACACTTAACTTAACCAAATCGAATGGAAAATTGTGGAATCCGGATCTTATATTTATTCTTAGTTTGGTAATGAACTGTGCGATGTAAATGATTTTATCATGACATGTCATACAAAAGGCCTTCAAATATAAAGAATCGAGGGCTAGTAGTAATTTATTAGTACACTGATTTATATCCTCAAATGATATCAAACAGAACATTTACAAATATCACATAGGCAGCCTATTTAGGATTTGTTTTAGGACATATTTAACATTTGAGATGAATCATATTTCTGTATCTAACTTCAATATTCATCTTCGAGAAAAATTAGAAGCGGATTATCAATGACGTATTTGTTGAGGTCAAAATTACAGTTTATTCTGGAATTATATACATTAGAAAAATTTTAAATCTATGAGAAGAATTTAAAGATCTTAAAAATTATGTTTGCATATCTGTTGTGGTGTAAAATATCACTTCTGAAAAATTTAGTGATCGGTACACAACTTGACTTTGTGACATAGGAGCTGTCATAACGTTTCTTGCACAGCTGATGGTGAATTAAATATTTTCTTCCACAGTGTACACGACAGAGTTAAGATTGAGAGATCAGACCTGGGATACGAGACTCCTGGACCCAAATAGTTCACAGTTTGCTGCGATGAAGACTGATGTTCAGTCTGATGTAAGTCCAGTGTTATATTGTGTGTTATTGCTTACGTTTTATCTATTTTTGTATTATATTCTTTAAATTCTGGGCTGGCTTAGTTTGTGATGATTGAAACACATTCCAAAACAATCCCATCCCCTTGCCATACCAGTATTTCAGAACTGTGTTGTTTATGCAGTAATTTGAACAGGTCGTGAGTTGTAAGAGTATTTTAAGCGTGTTACTTATGTATTTCTGGTTAATTGGAATATTTAAACACTTATCCGATTACGATTTGATAATTTGTTTTGATACCGATATCTCGTTTTAGCTCACTACAATAATGCTTGCGAGTAGTCTAAGATCAAAGTACCAAAGCGTGGAGGTGACCAGCTTCAGGTAAGTTCGGTCCGTTTTTCTGAATGAAGAAAGTCAACATTATAAGATTATATTCATTGTCATACTAACAGAGAAAGCCGACTTTTTACTTCCTGTCCTATTACGTTTCTGCTAGTTCAAAATAAAGGGACTGGATCTGCAGTTTATGAATGATCTAGCATGTAGTGGTCTTTGTGTATATTTCCATTGCTTCCCATTTTCTCTAATTGCAGTCCGGGAAGTATAAAAGTTCAGTGTTTAATGAGGCTTCTTGAAGATGCTCTCTCCGCGGAAGATGTAAAATCCAGCTTGATTGAGTCCTATAATTCTATCAACAAGATCAGCCTTAAGGTCACCAAAGACCTGGATACAGTCGCAATCACAATTTCTGTGACACAGACCACAACTATCATATCTTTACCACCAACATCAACTCCAGTTACCCCTCTTTCCACCGTTGCACCATCTACATTACCAACAACGACCACAACAACTCCAACAACTCAATCAACCACAACTCCAACAACAACCACCACCACCTCAACAACTACTACCACAACTCCAACAACTACAACTACAACTCCAATAACTACAACTACAACAACCACAGCTAAAACCATAACAACCACAACTACAACTCGTACTACAACAACCACTACTCCTACAACTACAACAAAAATTCCAATCACTATTACAACGACAACGCCAACTACAACCACAACAACTACTGCTACCACAACCCCAACTACAACGAGTATAACTACGTCTCCTACTACAACCACTATCCCTACAACTACGACAACTCCGTTAACAACAACTCCGACTACTACAACCACTACCCCTAAAACTACAACGCCGACCCCTGCTGCAACAACTACTACCTCAACAACTACAACTCCCACCCCGACTACAACAACAACCACGACCTCAACAACCACTACTCAACCAACTACTACAACAACAACCAACCCTACAACTACAACCACAACATCGATTATCGTCCGAACTACAGCAGGTAGGAGAACGATTGTTCTTTCTCGAAATACAGGAACCGTTTTGAGAATATGTTCTATACATATGACTGTGTTTCTAAATTTCTAAACCTGGTACATATTAACCAAATTATTTTCTCATGTTATGGATTGGCATGTTCATAGATAGTTTCTGTTTTTGTTCACTTCTATAGATAGCGTTAACGATATATATATATATATATATATATATATATATATATATATATTTAAATTCACCCTTCAAAACAATTACACCTGATTCCTCACTAGGGAAAAAACTATATAGATATATATATATATATATATATATAACAAAGACATTAAAGTAATCGCCTGAAGATAGCCGAGACACGGCTTGAAAACGTTAGCGACAATCAAGTTTATTTGCCTTGTTGGCCTTTTATGTTTACATATTTAAACGATACACAATGTTCTCATCTAATTGAACTATATAGATATATATACTCAACATGCTTTCATCCGTGTTTTTTTTTAACTGATAACTTTTGGAAAGATCGTGTTGGGGAAAAATCGTCTCATTGTTTAAGACTTTTCCAAAGTTTTTGTCGGCTGTCCTTCGAGAGCTGTATCTACACTATTCAATTCATGCCGTCAGTGTTTATGTTTTCACTATAAATGTTCAATTAAACTTGTTAAACCACGATTTTCACCTCATTCTGTCACGACATTATAAGTAAATTATTTGGAGTTATCAGTGTACAGGGGGAGCTGGCATTGAATTTGTGATCCCTGACTCATATGCTGACATGTCTAACTCATTGATAGAACTAAATCTTAATTTCAGGTCCGGCAACTCCAGACGTCTGTCGAAATAGTACCTTGGCTATACAGTTTTTATTCGAATGCTTTGATTTTCAAACATTCTTGGCACTTTCCTCAGATGACGCCAAATGCACGTATGTATTATATTAACAACTTATAAATAGATTATATTAATTTTGTACAATTTGATACATACAAGCATACACATAAAACTATAGTGTCCTATCATGTCTTAGAGGAAGATTCAAAGATCAAGTGCACCTTAACCAAATAGAAAATCACTGGATTAAGTGCAAAATGTTTCAATATCTGAAAATGACATCAAATCATCTGCGGTGCACATATAGTGTTCATTGATATAGGCGTGCAATCTTGGTATCGGTGTGGGGAAGACCAATCTTATCGTATCAGAAAGTTTGTTAAAATTATCATGTAAAGCAGGACAGTGAAGACATATCATTTTTGGTACTTCTCGAATTCAGCTTTACGTTTCTTGGTATGGTCGTGGAGCCGTAGCAAATAGTCAATGCCAATAAATGTTCACTTGTAGGCTTGCAATAGTTTGGAATATACAAATTCTAAATTATTAGCATCCGTTACCATAACAACCACTTCCCAAATATGGTATGAAGGTTTCATTTCTTAGTAACAGTTGTAGATGGTTTAAGCCTGGCCGGACCAAACAATTGCCGACATTTTGAATTCCTGAATTAACGGATCAACGTTCTGATAGCGGGAGCCAAGAGCCTTTCGGAAACATTTGTGTGTCTTTCACAGCATTTTCATTCTGATAACTCTCTTTTGTTGGAGTTATACACCTTGCACCAGAAAATGTTACTTTCATATGCGATGATGGTCCGCCGAGGCTGTGGTTAAAGTGTGGACACCATATTGCGTACTTTTCACCAGATACTTATTTTTGCTACAAATAAAGTATACACTTTTCCATTCCTTCTTGCCGTCGTCCGAAGAATCCTAGCCATCTGTCTGCGCTTTAAGTGTATGCTTTGGCTCTATCAATATTAGTTATTATTTAGTGACCATGTCTCGAGAGATCTTGTGACGGAAACCATTTTGAAATATGTATATATATTTTCCGAACCTTATCATAAATTGATCAATTAATGTAAGAGTAAAGCAAAAATAAAGACGTTGTTCTGGTTCGCTAAGAGAGACACAACTGATCATCTTCGGACGTGCGCTCACCACTAACGTGAATATTAAGGCATTGTCACGTGACACGTAATGCACGAAACCTTGCTTGGAAAAAAGGTCCCCTTCCTTCTTACATAACTCTTGCATGGTATATTATTTTAACTGACATATCTTTTTACAATTGGTGCGCCATTGAATAGAATAATTTTGTAAACGTTTACATGTATACTCTTAATCTGTTGATATATTTGTTCTTTTGAAATGGAAGGACGGCTGCGCGGTATTATCTCTTTGACTTTTTATCAACCAGAAGGCACATAGGTATGATATTGACACATCACAGATTGTACAAAACACAAACATGTATATAGCAACAGAGACTTACCTACAGTAGAACAAAACATCGGTGGTTTCTCCTTCAAAGACTCGACACTGATACTAAAGGCCTCCATAATGAAATGTAAGAGGCGACAGTATGTAATTATCCTAACTGTGATGTTCATGTTCGACATCTAAAATAATCATTAGATACTGTGATGCTTGATAATACTGAAATCATGTTTATTTAAGGTACCTCGCTGGTGTTGGGAACTGCCTTCAGACAAAAATAGAGACAACTTACAGCGTCGCCTGTTCATATAGTGACCAGCTTAACATAATTAATTCTTTTGCTGGCGTAGTTTCACAAGCACTTCAGTTTGACTTAATTGCAATATGTGAGTATGGCTCAATAAACGTTTTAATGAAATCTTCATAACTTCTTTATTTTGTGAAACTTATACAAAGATTCAGATCCTGGATGAGAACAGAGTAAATTGTGATCAGTTTGAAGGCTACAACTTGATATTCATAACGTAGCATGCAATCCAAGGTTTTTCTAAACATGTACATAACAAATCATTATCAATAAAGGGAAATCCTCTCACTCTTATTCTTATGAACGTTCGTAGTCTCGGAAGAAAATCATCGCTACAATGGAAAGTGGATCTGGACATTGATAAACGTTACTATCTAGTTTTAATTTGTCAGTAGTGTTTGATGTTGTTGCCACAAATGCCTTAGATTCCTTTAACGCCTAGACCAAACATATCTTGCTACTTTTCCTTTATATATATTTACCAATTATTATCCCTATATACATTTCAGGTAACTTCGGCGATGACACAAGATAAACGTAATTACCTGGACGTTGTAGTAGGTATTGCGTGCATATAACGTGGACGGATATGTCCCCAATACATTACATCTTAATATAGCATTGTTTTCTGGTACATTATTGAAGAACGACGCCACATTCTGATGGGAAATGAATATGCCACGGTAATTTGAATTGTATTTATTTTACAACAATGGCGAAATAAGTTATTCCAACTTATATTAATCACTCTTGTTAGCGGAATGAAGCGTGCAGTTTTGTTTTACTTTGGGGGAAACCAGAAGACGATTGGCCCCATGCCTGTTCACCCTAAGGCTCGGTATGAGCTTTTCTTCGAATATTCCAAGCCGTTAAACCTCCTTGACAGACTTGCTTGGTGATGAAATTACTTATACGAAACTGCAGTAAAATGCAGGGTAGACTATACGATAAGTCAAGGACGCTTACGCGCTGGAGGTCCGGGACGCTTACCTGCTGGAGAAGGTCAGAGACGTTTAACCGCTGGCGGAGGTCAGGGACGCTTACCAGCTGGAGAAGGTCAGGGACGCCTGCCCGCTGGAGAAGGTCAATGATGTACCTGCTGGAGAAGGTCAGGGACGTTTACCTGCTGGAGAAGGTCATGGACGCTTGTTCGCTGGCGGAGGTCAGGGACTCTTGTTCGCTGGAGGAAGTGCACGGATTGTACATGAGGCATGTTCAACCTCTACTAAATGTTCTAACGGATGTTTGTGGAAATATTGATTTATATTATATAACTTTATATCAACGTTTATAACTGAAAACGTTGTTTGTGATAAAAGTAATCCCCAAACATTGCAATGAAATTCACGATGTGGTATAACACAAAATAAGTTAATGCGGTTGATGTAACACAAAGAGAGTATTTCTGTGTGATGAAACACAAACTGAGTTTTAAAAACGAGGTATAACACAAATTTAGTCACTGTATCGTGGTATAACACTAAGTGGGCCTGTAAGGTGTCGGGTAACACAAACTGAGTTTATGCGGTGTGGTGTAACACAAAGTGAGTCTATGCGATGTGGTGTAACATAAAGTGAGTTCATACAGCTGTCTGCAACAAAACCGTTAGAACGTTAGACTATACGGTAAGGTGTAACACAAAGTGAATCTGTATGGGGTCAAAAACAGTCAATATAATATGATGTAATGAACATATAAGGTGTTATAATGATACACCTATGCATTTTTATGTAACACATGGTGTCACATGTGATTCACCTATACGATGTGATGTCACATGTGGTTCACCTATACGATGTGATGTCACACGTGGTTCACCTATACGATGTGATGCCACATGTGGTTCACCTATACGATGTGATGTCACACGTGGTTCACCTATACGATGTGATGTCACACGTGGTTAACCTATACGATGTGGTGACACACGTGGTTAACATTTACAATGTGATGTCACATGTGGTTAGTTTATACGATGGGGTGACACGTGATTAACCTATACGATGTGGTGACACGTGATTAACCTATACGACGTGGTGACATGTGGTTTACCAATACGATTTGGTGTCACACATGTTTCACCTATACGTTATGTTGTCACACATGGTTAAACTATACGATTTGGTGTCACACATGGTGAACGTATACGGTATGTTGTCACATATATATTGAATATACACAGCTTAATATCTCTTTTACACTAGATGTTGAAATCCAGTGCCCTACTTCCTGAACCATACAAATCACAAAACGAAAAATTTATTAATCGTTTGACAATTGTTGAAACATTTCGTTTATACCAGAGAGACTCGTATAGATGATATCTAGTATATTACATTGTGTAACATAACATATTATGTACAAATTTAACTCAAATATCGAGATCGAAAAAATAGGTGTCAGATAAGTGTTTTTTTTTCAAACTGCAAGATTAAGCAAATGAAACGTATTTATCTACTATGCGATAATCAAAAACATTCGGTCAAACAATGTGTATGTATATTTTTTATATTACTAACTCAGTTTATGTTAGATTCTACAGCGAGAAGACGATGCTGTCAGTGCTACAATATACTACCTAAAGATTTATAGATTTGTTTTATACGTCTACAAAACTGGTTGTTGTGTGTTTGCTTCAAGTTGGAAATTAAATGCTATGCTACCACAAGTTTTCTAGATCAGGGATACAGCGTTTTCATCACACCTCATTTAAATAACAGTGTTTTCATTTGGATTTAGATAACCATACGCTGGTGCAGTAAAAAATCGTGTCGCGCAATCAGGACCAAGTCCGTCGCATCCATTCGGAACCTCTCTATAAAGTATGTAGAAGATGTGATTTTTTGCCAAATTCTTACTCAGCAGTGCATTTTTGTATATAAAAGCAGACATTGGCTTAATAAAACAATTATCCCTTTTAAATGTCAAACAGTGAAACAAAAAAACATTAATTGCATGGAGCAACTACTTCTTTAATAATTTATTGACTACACAAAAGTTTTCGTTTTTAATGTGAATCAAGGAATAACTGTCTTTGACTAAGACCTAAGTCTAGCCTGTGTTTTTAACCTTAGTGCCTAGGTTACGAGAAATAGTGGGACAAATCTATATATAGACAATAAATAGGGAAATGATTTAAATAACTGAACAGACATGAGACTTATATATATAGCATAATCAATCATATTACCTCTCGGGGTACATCGGGTACCTATCGTATTCCCTCTAATTATTGCCTTTAAACATATATCTGTGTATGAGATTAACTTATCGAGATCAGAGTACACTACCAGTTTTTGTTACGTCAGCATAGATGTACAAAGATCTACATTTACATATCGAACATATATTCGAATTAGTGTTTACAGGTATGGCCCCTCATACAAGACAACAAAATCTAAGTGAATACACTGGATAAGTCTTGGTAGACAAGTCGATATGCGTTCGTGATTCTTGATATAATCTATGCGCCTAATTCATCGACTAAACAAATGCATTTTGAAAAGTTCTTCCTGTTTTCCACATTATATAAACGAATATCTATTTATATAGTATATGATTCGTTGAAGCACAGATATGACAGCACCGTTTAGAATCAGTAACATATGAAGGGGTCATTTTAAATGCACATTCAATATTTTCATATTATGATTACATTGGAATCATATCGCCACATAAACACGGAAAATAAGAGAATTTTTTATAATCCACAGGTAGAAATATTAAAGGAACATAGCATTTGAAATCGTTTCACTCGTTTCAATGTATTCCATACTCTCTAAGGTAAAAACAGACAGAAACCTCATTATTTCTTTTAGTCTTCGAGGTTTGCCTTGATCTGCAGGACTTGTTTTGATTAATTCCATTAGTGACACAGTTCAGAATGTAGTTTGTTTTTTTCCCTAAAATTATCAGATGATAGTTTGGAAGTTTACTGAATCATGGGGCTTGTGCACCTCCCCGTCTAGATTTTCACTTTCTTTTCGATCACTTTGGATTTCCGTCAGTCGCCTCAATTTCAAACTTTAGACCATGACGCGTTTTAAAAGGGCGAAACAGCTGTATGATGCAGTTTACTTCATTGTTTGGCTCTACTGTATCTAACTCTAAATTTGTATTAAAAGTTGCTATTTACTTGTGTGTCTTTTGTACAATGGTCATCAGTTGTCCGTGGGATATTGAAGGTCATGATTTTCCTTTACCCGTTACATACCATTGACAAAGGACATACAAGATTCCAAATATTTCTGGACTCGTTTTCATAAGTCAATGGCTGCTACCAATATGGATCAACCGATGGAATCATGGGAGGTTGACAAAATGCGACATTATTTATATTAGACATTAACTTGCACGTTTCATTCAAGATGTACGAGGCTGTCGCTCACATTTGGAACAATGTTTGCTAGCAAATGCAGTTAAAGAATTATCTTATGATGCGACTGGCTTGTTGTGTCAAGTCATATGTTCATGTCAAGTTAAATGTGTAGATTCCCTCGTACTGTAGGAGAATAAAGATAAAATGTTGCATAATGAAAATTAATAAACTGAAAATGTATAAAACGTGATGTTAACATAAACTACATGAAACGTGCAAAATAATTCCAAGACAGGTGAACACAGAGCGATTGAAAATTGATTAGTAACAAGCCTAAATCTGTGTAAAATCTGTAAAAGAGGTGTGACCGTTTAAGGTGAATATGTCACGACATGATATGAGAGATGTGAACTGATGATGAACTTTATCAAATGACATTTAAAAATTGGTATAGGACCCAACGAAGCTCATCGAATATAAAGTACATGTCACCTGATAGATACTTCACCAGGTGGTTGGGTGGCGCGGTTGTAACGCACTCGCCTTTCACCTAGCCGCCCGTTGTTCGATTCCCGGAATAAGACCTCTCGCGCGCTTACATCCGGGCCAACAAGAGTGATAAGTATAAGCTGAAATAACGTGTTTCGTAATTGTTGTAAAACAAAAAAGTTTAGATTTTCAAATACTTAACCAAAACACTGCCATTTGTCGGCGGGACGACGCGTAGAAAACTGCCGCTTGTCAAGGAGACGGAAAGCTGACGTTTGTTGGTGAGACAAACCCTGAAAAAACAATTGTATCCAGTCCTTTTAGGACTCTTCGGTGACATCATGTACCCATATATGGACAACAAGAAGGGAAAATGACGTTTATATGGGAACTGCAACAACCCCATAGCTAAATTAATACAAGTTTTGACCTATTAATGACGATCTAGGTCGTGTCCTTCAGAGTTATGTGTTACTCACTGTGGTCATTCTGTCCAGCTATAGAGAGTATTACAAAGTATGCTTTTAATTGTTGGCTTTATATAACGAAATGAAGACCACTTAAACTGATCTCGTTTAGATTTGTAAGTTTTTAAAGCAACAAATCATATGATTGGAATATTAAAGAGGTCAACTATTCGTTTGATTTTTCAAAAGTTTTCATCATAAGGATGCCAAACTTGAAATGTTATGTACCATCAGTGATGTGTGTGTACTGATTACAAAAACGACGCTACCGTATCGTTAGAATATTTGTAAGAAAGTTTAGTTGCTAAACAGTTTCTTCTAATTTTCGAATCGTTTGATTATTAGATATATCCAAGGCATTACATGCGAACATTTACACGGTAAACTATATGTTATACACTTATCTCGACAAAATTATCTCGTCAAACATGATAATAGTCGACATACAATGTAATTGTAAGTTATGTCGACGAATTATCAGATTATGTCGACATATGTAACTCGTAAGTCATAAGTGGATGGTAGATATATACATCAAAGTTTACCCTGTTTACCTTCCTCAGAGTAGAAGTGTATGTTGGCAATGTGACGAAGTGAACTACAACTATCGAGAAATAATTAGAT